GGAGTCCATGGTGGTGGATAGGCCTTCACTGAAGGCTGCAGGGGTTGCCATTCAACAGGAGGACCCATATATGTTAAAGGTTAAGCAGGTGGACTGTGTGGCCTTTATAGCTATGGTGATTAATGGCACTGCCAAAGTGGAGAGGAAGTCCAGGAAAATAGATATTGTGGATGTGGCGGAACGGTTCCTGGGACTGAAAGACTTCTCGGCGGAGGAGTTGCATGGAGTATTCTCACAAGTCTTCTCAGGTCATAGAGCCTGAGAAGGAAGATTTGAAGGAAGGAATAAGTGGGAGTTTGGGGGTTTTGTTTTGTCAATGTGCTTTTTATTTGTTTTATTTGGGGTGGATTAAGTTAGTTTTCCCTATCACATATGGGTTTTATTTTTACCTTTTGAGTTTTTTGATGCCTCCAGATATTTATAGAGTTGCTTTTTCAACCTTATTTATATCCATATACAGTTTCAATTCCAATGTTTTTTAAAGTTTTCTTATCTTTAGTCTCAGCAGACCACCTAGCTCTTTCTTTCAGTATTAAGCAATTTAACCTCCAGGATAAGACACACATTTAGGAAAATATACCTTTTTATCCACCCCTATTTTTGATTTACCTTCATAGCTTTATGCTGCAATCAAGTGAAAAGGAAACCATTGATATGCCTGTGACAGTTTAAAATACATTTTAGTTCACTTAATGAGCCTGCTTGCAGTGGGCCTCTTGCAATCACTCCATCATTTTCATGGGTTAAAGTAAAAACAAAGTCGTTGTCATTCTCTGCAGCTCAATCTGCAGCTCGACCAACACAGAGTTCCACTAGCGTTAGCTCGGTTTCAGTTAGCCGCAGTCCATTTTTCCATCTTGCTGAGTTTAAGCCCATTTCAGTACAAGGTGAGAAGGGATAAAGTGAGCCTGTCATGTTTCTGCAGTCGACAGCATTTTCTTCTCCTTGAGCTCTATATTGAGTGAGTGGGTTTGGTTGTCGTGAGCCTCTCCCCACACCCTGTGGACATTAAGAGCACTTATTGCGGTGTGAAGCTGTTAAAATCTAAGGCCATCCACTCATTACACAGTTACATTGCATATTGCATACTGAAGCACCCCACTGTTTTAGTAGTTAGAGCATTTACCTGGGGAGTGAGGAGAGTCACAAGTTTTTATTTAGCACTTATTTTTCGGTAAGTTTTTGAATTTCATCTGCTGTGACACATTTGGACCTAGTGCTTTTTCTATACACCAGCCTGGGAAGATGCTTTACATATAAACTCATCTGGTATTGCCTATTTTAGATTTAGAAGTAATCCATATTTGAGAGAGACATGCCACCAAGACTTATTCCTGCTTCAGGCCCAAGGGACACTTTTTGAATATTTGAGGTACAGAGGGACTAGGGTCCTCGCTCCACAGAAGCAATTAAACTTTTCAAATTTTATCATCAGGGCTTAATTTCTTTGCAGCAAATTCAAGTGGATATGAACTGCCGTCTGAGAACGCAAGTTATCATCAACATGTGTCCTTCATTAATAGGGCCCTCATTACTGAAAGTGTTGAGGTTTCTAGGAAAATTCCATTCTTGTTGTGTCAGTTACCCAAGCAAACCCTGATCTTTCTTTAATAATTATTGTATTGTGATCAACATGAGAGATCAGTGAATAAATAATGACACTAATGATAATCAAATAACAAAAGTGGTTAATGGCTTTTAGTGGCTTTAATCATAGTTGGTAATGGAATAATGATTGATTAGTGATTGTAGAAGTAAAACAATTACCCGTAGCTGCAGTGGCGGATGAAACCGTAAAAGCAAGCGGCAGTTTTTATTGTCAGAAGTGGTTGAATTCTTCCAATATATTTAGCCTGCTGTTTCTGAAAATGACAAACTGTAGCCTTGCATGATATGTCCTTGCCAGTAACTTACATCGCATTGTCACCCAAAAATATACTGCCTAATAGAATATTGTGCATTTCTTGCTCTTTTTCTTAAAATGTTAGTCATAGTCAAGCTAGGACGCTTAGCTCCTGACAAAACATGGCTTAAACACTTTGTGGTCACATGTCTGCCCAGTTTGTTTCTAAGAATCTAATTCGAAGACCGTGAAATATGGTTAGATTTTTTTCATGGAGTGCTTATTTTGATTGGGTTGCAGTGGCTATAGCTTAGTACACGTAAACACTCCTGATTTTCTTCTGCAATGTCCTCGTTTTGGTCTCAATCAAACAAGACCAGTATTCCTTTTCCCTGTTTTAGTTAGTTCGCGTTATGCAACATACTGTATGTTTTCAATGTATTCCTTAAAAACATATGTCTGTATAAGGTGGGACCTTGTAAGCTAAAAGTTACTTGTTATTATTGAATGAATTACCTCTTGAGCTGACAAAAATCCTAGTCCCCGAAATCGGGTAGTAGGCTGTTTTAAAGAAAAAAATGTCTGAAATATAAGTATGACATATGGCTGCTTTCAGCTCGCCACTGTGCTTCCATGGTGTGCATTATACTGCAATACAGTGGATGTCAGCGGTACTACATGACCTAGTTTAAGAATCTCTGCTAAATGTTCATTGTCTCAGAGGCTCATGTGATGTCCACAGCTATTGATGGAGTTCCGTGTGAGGTAGAGAGAACTGCAAGATGTTTTACTCGTCTGGTCTGGGAGAAACAAAAAAATTGCAATTAGTCTCTGTAGGAATTTACATTTGCCCACCAGACGTCTTAAAGGTAGACTCAGCTATGTGCAAAAAGTAAACCGCATAGTGGGTACAGTTCCACAGCAACGAAGAGCGTTGAAGCGCAAGGCTAAACTTCTCAGCTGTTTTGGTCCCGTACCGACAGTACCACGCTCTAACAGCGTGAAGCGAACCCATACACATATACTGTGTGAGAGTTAAGTCTTGCATCTCGCTCTTCACAATATCTGCGGTGCTGCTTGTGGCAAACGTCATTTCGCAGAGTCTGCCTTTAAAAGGTAAAATACAATTTCATTAAATATGCGTGTTTGTCTGATATGGACAGAAGTTGGACCAAACGATCTATCTATCTCTTTTTACAATGACTTAAAGCTTCATAATACATTTTAACGGTATAAGACAAATAATCCTTCATGTCATGAACCCTCTGTTTGAAGGAATAATAATTAATGTAATCTTTTATTTGATACTCAAGATTTTTATAGAAAAAAACAACAGATTTGTATCATGTATTTGAGCCTGTGCCAATTCATTAAGTCTTACACAAATATGACCTGTCCACTGTATTCTACAGCTCCCAAGCTCTCTGTGGATATAAGGGTTTACTAGTCTATTCTTTATGGCCCTCTCTATCCTTTATTATATCCCGGAATAGCAAATATTGGTGAGAATCGCTTCAAGGCTGTCAGCTCAAGATTACATTTTTCGAAGGGGTTAATACCATGCTGCTGTTGTACAGTACAGAGGGGTTAGATGGGTTGTGTGTTTCACATTGGGGTAAAACATTTCTGCCATGGTATAGAGAGGGAAAGGTTTCGTGCTGAGGCTACAGAGTTAAAGGTACAACGTGACTTTTTGGGCGACCCGACCAAATTCACGTAGAAATGTGAGTTATAAATCTGTCATCATTGAAAGAAAGTCTAAGAAGTCAACATGGGCCAGCATCCCAGCATAGTCCCCTGTAGCAAGGTAGTGGGTTCGATCCCCGGGACCACCCATACACAAAAATGTATGCACGCATGACTGTAAGTCGCTTTTAGCGTCAGCTAAATGGCATATTATTATTATTATAGCTCAGTTGGTAGAGCATGGCGCTTGCAACGCCAGGGTTGTGGGTTCGTTTCCCACGGGGGGCCAGTATGAAAAATGTATGCAATCACTAACTGTAAGTCGCTCTGGATAAGAGCGTCTGCTAAGTGATTAAAATGTAAATGTTTTGTCAACCCAGTCCAGTTAATACACAATTTTGGGTTGTAGTCTGCCATAAAATACACAGAAGAAGAAGTTTGTTGCGACACCCTGGCTGCAATCCAAACTCATAGTAGTCAGCCCTCGGCGCTGAACTCTCAGCCCTTGAATGAAGTTTTACATCGTCACATCCGAGCGTACCTTAAATGTCCCTTGCCCAAACGAGGGAGAGTGATGATCAGAGAGGCAACGTCCTTGGTGGAAATCTTGAAATTGAGTTTAAAAACAACCAACCTAAAGCTATGAATGTACCTAGCAAGCTAACGTAGCTAACTAGCGCTCCTGTTAGGTAGCTAGCTAGCTACAGTTACCCACAAAAGGGCTTTATTACTGACAGAAATACTAATCAGTTCCATCAGCTGTCCGGCTGACAGGTCTCAGACGATCCCGCAGGTGAAGAAGCCGGATATGGAGGTCCTGGGCTGGCGTGGTTACAGCATGCCAATTGTGCGCTCCCTCAAAACTTGAGAAATCTGTGGCATTGTGTTGTGTGACAAAACGGCACATTTTAGAGTGGCCTTTTATTGTCCCCAGCATAATGATCATGCTGTTTAATCAGCTTCTTGATATGCCACACCTGTCAGGTGGATGGATTATTATGGCAAAGAAGAAACGCTTACTAACAAGGATGTAAACAGATTTGTGCACAACATTTGAGATAAATAAGCTTTTTGTGCTTATGGAACATTTCTGGGATCTTTTATTTTAGCTCATGAAACATGGAACCAACACTTTACATGTTGCATTTATATTTTTGTTCAGTACATATATATTTTTTAGCAAGCTAGCGTCATAATTTTGTCTGACATGCCGAAAATGTAGCCATGTTGATTAAATGTGACACATCAACTACAGTTTGAATTGAATTGTGGGTCATATCAACCACAAGTGGTCAAAGTTCTTCACTCGCTCCCTCGAGTTAAATCGAGGGCCGAGGGGCAACGTTAGTGAATTGGACCTTCACTTAAGATGGCAATCAAACTGCATCCGGTTTCGACAGGGATTCGCCCAAGTGAAAGGGTAGAAATAACTTGTTTGGACTGCAGCACATGACCTTTATTTTGAAAATTCAGGGGATAGCGAAAGTCGTGGCACAGGAAGTTGTCATTTTTTTGGTCTGGTTTCTTCCTATTCAGTTCTAGCTAGCTAATGTGTAAATAAAATTAGCTACACTGTTAGCTTCAGTAGATATTAATACATTGGTAATATGGATCGGCCAGAAGTAACGTTTTCTTTAGCCTACATAGTATTAGCGTTTTGCTTTGTATTTACACCAAATGAATTCCGATCAGCTGGTTTCACCGTGCAAAATCTGTTTTCAGGATGGCTCGGAAGTGAAGATATAGGTTTCATTCAATATCATGTGAGGAGAACGAGCGTCACTTTATTAGTTCATTCAACTTTGCCACTTGGTAAGTCACTTAGTTAGCAGCTAACTAGCTGCCAGAGGCCTAGTAAAAAATAGCTAATGACAAACAATACCCACATTGATCACTGTCCTGTCAAGTGATAATTCATACTAACTGATTGAATTGTTTTTTACTATATCTGTGATAAATCTGCCTAGCTAGTAGCTAGCCACATCATTCAAGAATCAAGTCTATTGACATTTTGAGCAAACTTTCTGTTCTGTATCCAACAGGGTACTACATGGGAATGTGCATAGCAGCTCCAGAAAAGTATCTGGCCTATGTTCACTTAATAAGTGATGGCTGGAGGGCTTTCTTCACATTGTCACTGGCTCTTCAGCTCTTTAGCTGGGTGCTTGTCATCTACTGGTCTCGGCACAAATGGGGAAATCATCCAATATCAAAGAACCTTAAAGCTCATGCATTACCCCAGTCCGGCTGGGGGGCAGTTGCCTCCTCTGTCAACACAGAATTTCGTCGCATTGACAAGTTTGCAACGGGCGCTCCTGGGGCAAGGGTTCTCATCACTGACACCTGGATCATGAAGGTCACTACCTATTATGTACATATTGCACTGCAGCAAGACACTCACTTGACGGTCACAGACTCAAGGCAACACCAGCTCTCCCCTGACTCAGCCACTCCTGTTCAGATCCTGACACTCCGGGTCGCTAGCATCAACCCCAGCGTCAAGCCCTTTGACATAAGGTACAGTAGCTAACACGAGCTATAGGCTAAGCTTGTTGTTGTCTTGTCAGCTCATTTGAGAAGTAAACCGTAAATGCCAACCCCTTTTAAAACCTTAAATAGAACTACCATATTTTTTTCCCATCACCACACCTGTTTAATGCAAATATTGATTTTCTGAGGCATAATGCTGTTGTACTGTGGATGTGAAATACTCCATTCTGAATTATGCACCTTTTAGGCTCAACTCAACAGAATATGCAGAGCTGCGAGAGAAGCTGCATGCACCAATCAGGAACGCTGCCAACGTGGTCATTCACCAGACTATGAGTGACCTCTTCTTGGAAACATTCAAATCCCAGGTGGAAATGAACCAAGTCTACCAGCTGACCAGCGGACAGGTGCACCCATGTTATATTGTCTATGGGTGAACCATTTAGTGTATTCAACTTTAAAGGTAGACTCAGCAATATGACGTAGATGCAGAAAGTAAACAGCACAGTGTGAAGTGAACCTGTGCACATGCGCAGATACTGTGTGTGACTGTGTGAGAGCGAAGCGATCATCTCAATCTCCGGTGTTGCTCGTGGCAACATCATTTTGCTGAGTCTAGCTTTAAATTAATTATCCTCCCAACATGCTTGATAAATGGTTATGAAAAAACTTGTTCTGCTCAGTGTAGTAGAAACTATCATGGCCAATACTTCTCTGCCTCTCTGTTCTTAGGAGCTGGAGTCCTGCATTGGTTGCATGCAGGTGCCCGCCAACACCAAACTGCTACGGCTATGCCAGGAGGAGGGCGAAGGGGAGTGCCAGCAGTGCTACTGTAGACCCATGTGGTGTCTCACCTGTATGGGCAAATGGTTTGCCAGCCGCCAGGACCAGCAGAAACCTGAGACCTGGTTGGGCAGCAGAGTGCCTTGCCCCACTTGCAGGGCCAAGTTCTGCATCCTGGACGTCTGCATTGTCCCCTGATCACTCAATACTGTCTTCTCCTCAGTCAATTCTAAAGATATGCATAGGAATCTGCTGGTGGCCTGGCGCTATGTGCATCAGATTGCCCTTGTGATTACTTTTCTAAATGTGCCTTGTCTCTATTGCATCATTGGTGCCATTACTCTGCTATGGGAAACCTTGGCGTATTGTAGTTTTGTTCCAACTTTGCTCTTCATGATTTTGATTTGATCAAATATTTTCCCCTGCACAATATGGCTACAATATGTACTTTGAAGCTGAGTAGATTGCTAAGTAGAGGTTAAATTTAGTTTCAGCTTAATGACGTTGCCACAAGCAGCACCAAAGATATTGCGATGAGCGAAATGTAAGACTTCGCTCTCAGTCACACACTGTATCTGCGCATGTGCACGTGTTCGTTCGCGTCACACTGTTAGCGCGTGGTAGGTACGGGACCAAAACAGCAGAGAAGTTTAGCCACGCGAGTCAACGCTCGTAGTTGCGGAAATCGACCCCCTATGGTGTTTACTTTGTGCACCTACGTCATATCGCTGAGTCACCTATGCTTAAATTTTTCTGTCTGCCCCTTGAGGTACATTGTTTGGTTTTCATCATCTTCTAGTTGGTAGTTCTGATGAGACTCAAATGGGGCAAAATGTAGGAGGATCTGGACAGTACGGCACAACATATCATTACTCCGTATTACTGTCTCTGTTGGCACAACATATATAATTACTCAGTTTTACGATCTCTTTTTCAAGGGTGCTGTTATGGAAACATTTTGTTTACCTTTGTGTTATCAGCCTTTCATCGGTCTGTTATGCAATTACGGAACTTTGTCAATTAGGGCTATGAAAATATATTTAATGAAGTAGTCAGTTGAGGATGAAATGGGGAAATCTGATATGTGGTACATGGTATATCAAATTTCCATATACCTAATTTCACAATTATGTTACCTTTATTAAAATATAGCTACCCTCTATTTGTTTCGTTTGTTGCTGAATGTCCACTGGGTAATACCATGTTTCGATGAAGATGTGTCAACAGAAAATTAACTAACCTGACCTGGGAACAAAAAGTTTATGAATTGTTGTGTGAGAATTGCCACAAAACATGTACTTGGAATGGATGAGGAAATTACTGAACTACATTGATCAGTAGGCCTAGTGATCCACCATTACAGTCTTGGGCGCCTCTCTATGGCAATGAATAGTAATGGCTCTTTCACTGGGAACTCGAGAAAAAATCATGACGTCAGTGATCTTCAAGTCTGAAAGTCGGAGTTCTAGAAAGATGCCAGAGTTTCCGACTTGGAAGACCATTTTAAAACGATTTTCTCAGTTGGAGCTAATTTTGTTCTGAGTGTCTAGTGGTCCCGAACGCACTGACGTTGGAAGTCGGAGATTTCCGAATTCAGAGTTGTTTTGAACGCTGCGTAAATAGAATGTTTCGTCAAATATATTTATAAGCAGAGCATGTGTTAGTGCCGCGTTAAGAACAATTGGGAACTCGGAAATCTCCGATTTCAGTGCGTTCAAACAACTGGGAGCTCGAAAAGAAACTAGCTCAGACTGGGAAGAATCTTTTGAACCATAGAGAATGATAGAGGCCTCTAGTGGACAAAATGCTGTATTAGCATGGGCAGCGCCATTGAGGGCGTCCACCATTTTAATGTAGTCAACAGGGCGAGACGTCCAACTTCATTGGCTGATTCCTCCTGGTCACCCTGCTGGAGTCATGTCCAGTCGGGTCATGCCAATCTTAAAGAAGACATTTTACTACTCAATGGCGCTGTCACAGACGCAAAGATGATGCCGCATTCACGTGGTAGTCGGAACTAGGAAACTCTGAAATTTCCGATTTGATAACTGGTTGTAGTTATACATGTTCAATTAGTTGGCAAGTCGGACATTTCCACGTTTCATAGTTCCGACTAGCATATGAACGCGGTATAAGCATCTATCTCTGTTTTGAACAGTCATCCAATTAACTTGGAATTTCATGTCGGAAATTCTGGCATCTTTGTAGACCTCTGACTTTCTGACGTTAAGATTTGTTCCCAGTTGTCTTGAATGCACCAATAGAGAGTTGGGCCAATGCGGTTTCTGCATAAAAAAAAAAAAAAAACTTTATTTAACTAGGCAAGTCAGTTAAGAACAAATTATTATTTACAATGACGGCCTACACCGGCCAAACCCGGACGACGCTGGGCCAATTGTGGGCAAATATGATGTATTTACACGACACTTCAACAGTCTAGCCATGTTGTGGCGCGAAATGTCCGACTTGCTGGTTTGTTGAATGCAGCACATGTATAACTACAACAGGTTAACAAGTCGGACATTTCCGAGTTCCCTAGTTCCGACTAGCACGTGAACGTGGCCTTAGCTCCACATTAACATTACATGGGGAATATTTAAAACATACTATAAAACTGAATGTCTAGAATGAGCATTATGAAGCATTTACATGACACTACAACATTATATGGCAGCCATGTTAGCTCCCCATTAACATTACATGGGGAATATTTAAACAATGCTATGTAACAGAATGTCAGAATTAGAACAATATTCAAAAAGTTTACCTAACTCCCTAAATATATGGCTCTATTTATAATTAAAACACTAATTGTTCTATCTCCTAGCTTTGTTCTAAAGCTCCTTGTCCTATCTGTGGTTTTGTAAACAAGCGCGTCAAATCCCTCCCCTTCTGTCATATGACAACAATAGGCAAGTTCGTTTTTACATGGCACGGTGCCCCGGAGGAGCAGAGGTTGCTCATTTAGACCATTCCATTGGTCCTAAAGTAATACCTCCACCCACCATGGGCACCGGGCTATGCTAAATGAATTCTCCCATTGTTGACTGACGTCAGGGAAGCGCGGTTCCTTAGCTTTGGCGCGTTTACATCAAAATCAAAAGATCTCTGCTTAAGGGAAGTAGCTGCTAGCCCTACGTTCCTCGCTGTAAGTATAGAAGAAAATGTCTTTTCGCCAAAAATCCAGACTCACGGATGCTGAATATAACGGTGATGAAAATAGGTGAGTTGTCATGAGTTTGTAAGTGTAATTTAGCAACAAAAATCTATTTAAAATCTATTTTGCTAGTTCGCTTTCTCGCGCCAGCCTCCCGCGAAATCAGGATTCGGTGCTGGGCTGGTTAGCTAGCTGGTTAACTGTTTCTAGTTAATGTAAGCTAGCTACCGTGTTATAAATATATGAGCATTTCTTGCATTGCTGACTGTGATACATGTTTAAGACTGGTTTTGCTACGCACAGTAGTGTTTGCTAGACATCTAACCTATATTTTGAACAGGTGTTAGCTAGCTAAGTTTACTGCTGGATTGCTAACAAGCTAACGTTAGCTTGCTAACTTGACTTAAATGGTTACAGTAGCTAACGTTAAATAGAAAATGCAAACCATTTGTGTATCTAACTAGCTAGCCAACTGTATAACAACTGATTTCCCTCAAAATGTAGTTAGCTAACGTTGGCTAATGTAACTGTGGTTTGAATACAACAGCTAACTAGCTACGAACGTTAGCTTGCTAGTTTAGCTTGCTATATTACTTTAGTTGACTAGCATAACATTTCGCGCTCATGCCATGGTATGGCGCCGAAGCACCTATTGTACTGTGCTTGAAAGATCTTTATAAATAGGCAACTAGTGTACCTACTAGTGTCTCCACGGAGTTTGTAGTGATTTACAAGAATCAACTACAACAAAGGGAACATAATGCATTTTTAGGTGTCTGTTTTAATGTGAAGTTATTCTGAAATTATGTTATTGATAATGGCATGATCTTTCAGTCTTGTTGATCCATATATCACTGTTTCTAGGAATAGGGGCCCTTCAAGGTGGTCCAACTGCCGGAAACGGGGCGCTGATGGCAGTATGAGATCAAATGGGGACTTGGACTCGACTGGTACCAGTGATCTGAAGAAGAGTAACGTTAACCACAGACCTGTTAGGTAAGATACGATTCAGACTGCTGAGTTGGGAGGTATCAAACCAATATTGTAGGTTGATTTAATGTTGAGTCCTTACTTGCGTCCCAAATGGCACCCAATTCCCTACATAGTGCACTACTTTTGACCAGAGCCCTATGGTTTCTTTATAGTGCACTTTATAGGGCCAAGGGTGCCATTTGGGATGCGAACCTTGACAGCCATAAATGAAGTGGGCTGTCCTGTGAAACATGATTGAGCTGTAAATGAGGGAAGCTTTTGAGAACAATAGCTAGGTTGGCAGATGGTTGCTAAATGCAAATGTACCCCATGTATGTCACCCCGAATAATGCTTTTAAAAACAAGCCATCAAAATTGCTTAGAAGTGGTGTGGTTTAATGTGTATTTTTCACACCACATCAGCCATTTCCAAGAGAGGAGACTCATAATAACCATATATTCATTTCTCTTTCAGTTTTACCACTCCTGAAAGTGAAGGTCCAGTTCCCAGATGCGCGGACTGGGGGAGTGAAGTGGAGACTGACGAAAGGCGCTCAAGCGTCCGTCGTGATATGCAACGGTCAGCTGTCACTGCAGAGTTTCCCCTTTTGTATAAATGTGCTTGTAAAAGCGTTCAATTGCTTATGGTATTGTTTCTTTTAGTTACAGGAGGAGGATACTTACAGCAGATTTTGGTCCAAGGGAACGAAAGAACTCTTCTGGAAGGTATGTTTGAAAATGGATGTCTCATACTGTATTTTGCATGAGAGCCTGGTCCCAGATCTGGTTGTGCTCTTGCCAACTCCATTGCTCATTGTTAAGCCAAACAGACAATGTGCATGACAAAGTGACAAGGAGTTGGCATGATGGCACAAACTGACTGGCACTCATACTACATCCATTCATTGAATTTCATTAATTAATCTGTTTCCTATCTCTTCAGCTCAGAGTCCAGAGACTCTCCTGTCCCTGGTGAGGTCATGGAGGAGGATGAGGAAGTCCTGATGAGGAGGCAGAAACAGATCACCTACGGGAAGAACACACTCGCCTACGACAGATACATCAAGGAAGTACCCAAGTGAGTAAAATAGTGTTGGTTTTCATATTTTTTAATGTATGTTAGGCTACTTACAAGCTACCACCCCAATAGATCAACGTTAATATTAACCAATTTGTTGTCCATTGTTTTGCCAGGCACTTGAGGCAGCCAGGAGTTCATCCTAAGACTCCAAACAAGTTTAAGAAGTACAGCCGGCGCTCATGGGACCAGCAGATTAAGCTGTGGAAGGTGAAGATTCACGCGTGGGATCCCCCAGCCCTGGAAGGCAGTGAGCTGCAGGCTATGTAAGCCCCTCAAATATCCTGGCTTTTAAAACAATCAACAAATATATATATGCAATCTTTTATGCTATATCACTTTTACACTCCCTTTTGATATAGTCCTTCAATTGTAAGCAGAAGTTGTTCTCCTGAAATTGGATTTGGGAAATATGTTAAACTCATCCTGTTGAAGAAATGTATCTAGCTAGTCTCAGGGTATATCCTTCATGAGAGAACCCCTTTGTGCCAGATGGCTTACTCAAACCAAGTTTGTAATGCAGTTGTTCTTTGTTTCATGTATCATTTAGAGAGGAGGTTGACTTGGATGATGTCATGGATATTGAGCTGGACTTCCCTGAACTGGATTCAGACTCGAGCGCACAGCCTCTTAAAGTCAGCAAGGCCTCTTCGTCTCAACCGGTACGTTCTTTAACCAGTCTTGGCATGTTTGAAGGCAACTATTGGTCTGTGTTCAAAAGCATTTTTATAAAGCACAGTTGGACACTTACCAAACACAATTGGAGTTACTTTGTGCCTCATTTTGTCAGTATAAAACTAATCTTGATTTTTCTTGATGTTCTAGGACTCTAGCCAAGGAACTCCCAGCAAGATGATGAAAATAGATGCATCAGTTGACCTTGACATGGCCTAACAGTTGTGCATTGATAGACAATCCATGGCTATCACCCTAGCAGGGGGAAAAAATGATTGAATGCTTAAAATTCCAAGATAAACTCATGATAGATTGAATTCAAGACAGTGACCTGAATTGTATATAGTTAACGTTTTCTTAAGTTGTGCTGTGGATGCTTGCATTTTATAATTGTTAATGACTTATATGTTAAGAAAACAAATGTGTTGGGAGTGTGTAAATTTGACTGCGTTTAGACAGGCAGCCCAAATCAGATCTTTTTTTCACTATCAGATCTGAAAAAGATCTGATGTGGTTGGTCAAAAGACCAATTAGTAGAAGAAAGATCAGAATGGGCTGCCTGTGTAAACTGTTTTGAAATACAATGTACTGTATTTTGAAGGATTCTGTTGATGTTGGGATTTTTACAAGCAGTTTTTTTTTTTAATAAATAAAAAATAAATGGGAAGTTATGCATCAATGTTATTTTAGTGTATGATCAGTTTTCTGGATATGCTTTCTCAGCTTTCTGCATGGCTGTAGCTGAGAAATGTATGTTTTTTTTTTATTACATATTTTTGTCATTTAGCAGACACTCTTATCCAGAGCCACTTACAGTTAGTGAGTGCATTTTTTTTTTTTTTTTCATACTGGCCCCCCGTGGGAAACGTTTATAGTACATTTCTGCATGTATTTCTTAAAATATGAGAAAAATGTTTATAATTGGTAGCTGTGATTGATTGACGGCCTGTGAGTGAAAAGTTGTGTAGGTCAGAAGCATGGATGAGCAATGGATCTATGTGGACGAGCGCCATAGCTCCTCCCCGTATTAACCATAACAACAAGGAACGCGCTCTTTTCATTGGCTGTTTGTATCTCATGATGGTTAGCTAGCGTTGAACTAGCAATGCTATTCGTGGACCGTGCCGGATACTTTCGTGACAACTAGGATTAAAACTCAAAATAGGGTTGGCTAATAAATTACTAACAGTTGACTGCTGTAATCCTCACAGCAAGTGTTCATGTGAAACACGGAAGTATCCAGGTACAAATCTTTGTTGATTACCTTTAACGGTAGCTAGCAACAATATATGCTAATTTCTTCAATTTGGCCATCGCTTGCTAACTAGATGACAATATTAGCTAGCAGCCTCGAGTCGTGGGGAGGAGTAAAAAGAGTAATGTTGCCAAATGAACTTGCCAATGCTAGGTGTCAAGAAGAGGAAGCATAGACTTATTTACGAGCCAGCTAAATGGGGTTATCTTTTGTGGGCCTTTACGTTGGATACTGATTTCACAGGTAACGTTAACGTGTTATTGCCGTTTTATCATGGCAAAGTAGCCTATAATTTTCAGATGGCTAACGTTAGCTACCAGGTTAGGGTGTATGTCACTGTGTGAGAGAGTAGCTAGGAATCTCACTAGAGAGTTTGGCAATGACAACAAGCAAATGTGAAACCGTTTTCAAATAGACACCTGTACTAATTATGTGAAGGGTGGCTTGCTATACGATAGTCCACTGTTGAAGGGGGACTTTGTGTATATTTGGTGGCGACAGCTTGTCAATGAATAGTATCAGAAAAACACAGGCGAGCCTGACCTCATCTCTAAAGTTTAAGAGCTAGACGTGACCTGAAAACAAAGTGTAAAGAGGGTGATCATGTCATGTTACCTTGAGTAAAGCTCAGTGCTGTTTCCTGGAAATGTGTTCATTTATTCTGACTATGAGGGCATTTTATTCATAATTTTATTTCCAACAGCAATGTGAGCCATTTTGGGAAAGAATGCTGGGTCCTGGTGTTTGATATGGCTCAGATTTTATGCACCCACCAGGAGACCCAGAATGGGACCGCTCAGGAAATAGAGGGGCAGGGAGGTTTGGACAAGGCAGGAGGTAACCTTCTCTGTTCCCTAATGTCTACACTGACATTGTGATTGTGAATACATAGTTTATTGTTACTATGTGTTCCGTTTCAGAATAGGCACACTGTTGCGTGGTTTGATCCAACTCTTCTTCATCTTCCAGATAAAACAGAGACATCCCCTGTGAACGAGAACCCAGAACCCTTGACTTCTGAAGATGAACAGGTAAGTGACTAATATTCTCAATGAAATATTTTGTGGTATGCTTAAGTCAATATAATAAAATAAAAGTTATTCTATTTTATTATTGACCATTATCTGAACCATCTTATTTCAGAAGAGACGAAATGCTTTGTCAGATTATGACTTTCTTTCAAAGGACAAGCTTGATGGTATGGGCAATGCTTTCTTTGTTACTGTTTTGATAGTTAACACCAGAGCTATGTAATTAGAAATAAATTAATAAGAGGACCATGATGTTTGTGTGGCATTACAGTAACACTGTACTCCTGTCATCTTCAGCTTCCTGGTCCCAGAGCTGCCCCTTCACCAAGTCTCTGCAGAAGGCGGAGGCCCTGCTGAGGACTCGCTTCAACCCCAGCCTGAGGTGGCTACTGAGGCAGAAGAGTGATGATGATATCTGGGAATTTGAGAACCGGGATACCTTTGTAGCGTGCCAGAACCTCACCTCTCAGTCGTCTAGCAGGCTGCAGCGGCTAGACCAGGGCATGCTGGATCTAAGTCCACAGTGCCAAGTGTTGCGGGGGCCACGGACAGGCCAGCTGCAGAGCTGTGTCAGGGGCCTCTCTACAGAGGGCAGTTTCTACCACCACCCTCCAGCTGCTACCCTCAGCCAGCACTATGGGCAGCTGCAGCACTTACTGGAACAGCGGGCTCAGCTCCTCTTCCTCCATGAGTATGCCCGGCGCACCAGAGTCACCACTGTGTACATTGACAAAACTGACTAGCCTGCTGGAGCGGGAGCTAGGTTTGTTGATGGACAGGAGTCGTATCCTGGAGCGACCAAACTCTGCCTGGAGCTTTGGGATGGGAGGCCTGTGCCAGGAACTACGTATCCACGTGAGCCATTGGGATGCTCTATGTGCCAAAGCCCGGTCTGACATCTGGCTGAGAACTGTTCTGTTCCAGAGGACAGAGACCCTTGCTGTCATGCGGCGGACACTGAGAGTGCTGGGACTGCAGGCCCTGGTTCTGATGGAACGTTGTATCTATACAGCCCTCTCCGCTCTGGCCTCAGCTCAGCTGGCCAGGGTGCCTAGAGATGCCTTAGAGGACCTGCTGGCTGGGGCCGAGGTCTTTAATCAGGTATTGGAGGAGCAGAGAGTCTATCATAGAGGCTCGCGGTGGAGAACTCAGACCCTGCAGCTGTCTGACTGGCCTGGGCTGTCTAGGAGGCAGCCCACCCGGAGGGGTAGCCTTCCTGCACCGTTCCCAGTGGTTGAACTGATGAGGATACTGGCGGAGCACAGGGGGCAGATCGCGGCAGAGCAGCTGTACCAATGGGCTTCCCAACAGAGCTTCCTCCACTCCCAGGCCCTGCACACTGGAGCTCTAGCCCCTACGTGGGAGCAATTAGAACTGTTTTTCCCGCTGCTTCCCCCTCTACACCCCTCAGAGCCCAGTCCTGATGGGCCCACACTGGAGAACCTCCCAGGGCCCACCTCAGATGAACCCAGGATGGGAAAGCCCTGTCCCTGGTCCTCTGATCTCCCCTTTACAGCCTTCATCCGTCAGGACAGAAAGTCTCTAGAGATTCTTTTCCAGGCCCTTGTATCCTCCACAGACCTGCTGGCTCCACATATCCCCAACAGACCCAGGCCGGAGCGGACCAACACCCCAGAACACTCTCCCAGGTGCTGTGAGGGAAAGTCCTCACCCACAGATGAGGCCAGGCAGCAGATGAAGAGACCCAAGTCAGTCCAGTCTGTGGCCTGTGTGGAGCTCTTTGGTCATTACAGGACAACGCTGTGGAGGGAGTTTGGCAAAGCCATCATCCAGCGCTTCCACCAGCCACCACAGAGAGACCGTCTGGGCAGTGTTAACCAGTGGAACGACCAGATGATTTTCCAGCTTGTGATGTGGCTCAACCATGGCTGTAGAGGAGGTAACAAATGCTGCCTGTTTTTAATCAGTTGATGTGTGACTGTGTCACTATTTCAATAAATAAATATTGAATGCCTTGCAGAGCTCGTCCCTGAGGAGTGTCGAGGAGTGGTTGATGACTTCAGCAAACAGCTCCTGTCCAACACTGCCTTTAGGCACTGGGATGAGGGTCAGTTTCTGTGTTTAAAACATCCTTAATACAGTGTAATTTGTACCATGATTTGACAACCAGCTGCATCAAGTAGTTATAGGAATATAACAACATAATGTTTTTGGTTTCTGTTAAGGTGTTGCCTCTAATCCTTGTGCGTGTGTGTCTTTCTCTCTTGCAGTGATGTGTGCATCACTGGGCTCAGGACTGAAGGATAAATGCCTTCCAGGAGCTGAGCGTGAGAACTGCATGGTGATAACGTGTACCATGGAGAGACTCCTGCAGCTGTCCCCTCCACTCCTCACAGTGCTGCAGTGTCTTCAAACTTCAGCCCACCTGGTCCAAGGTAACCCCTATATTACATTTACATGTCATTAGTCATTTCAGAGTTTAAGACGACTTACAGTTAGTGTAATTTTGTATATGACCTGACAACCAACGCTGCAAACGCCAGTCTATAACTGACTACATCTGCGGTTTCTTTACGAGTGGATTGTGCCCTGATCTGTGTGGGGGCTGCCTGCATGAGCTGATGTGACAATCTCTAGTGGCCAGTTTGAAGGATCAGTGCCTTCCAGGAGCTGAGCGTATAGATTTGCATGGTGACTACAGTCCACTGGAGAAACCCCAGCTGTCCCCCCATGCTCACAGGTGAGTGTCCCATATTCAGCCCACCTGGTCCAAGGTAACCCCTATATCAGCCCACCTGGTCCAAGGTAACCCCTATATCAGCCCACCTGGTCCAAGGTAACCCCTATATCAGCCCACCTGGTCCAAGGTAAACCCCATATCAGCCCACTTGGTCCAAGGTAAACCCCTATATCAGCCCACTGGTCCAAGGTAAACCCCTATATCAGCCCACTGGTCCAAGGTAAACCCCTATATCAGCCCACCTGGTCCAAGGTAACCCCTATATCAGCCCACCTGGTCCAATGTAACCCCTATATCAGCCCACCTGGTCCAAGGTAACCCCCATATCCATATAATTGAAACTGCTTATTCATCTGGAAATCACCTCCAAATATCCCTAGGTCATTTTCTTTCTCTACCTCTTAAACATTATACCAGGCCACACGGTAGTAATCTTGCTTTTTATCCTTCATCAGGTGACCGTAATGCTCGGACTATGAGGTCCCTTCATCTGGGATCGCTGAGCAGAGCGGTGGCATCCGTCCGATCCTCTACCTTCTGGGTCATGAGAAAGGCCTACCAGTTCCTCTCCTCCTGGTCCCTCAACAAGTTCCTGCTCGTCACCCTAGGAGACCTCAAGGTGAGGATTCACTCTGATATGCATCCCAAATGGCCCCCTATTCCCTATATAGTGCACTACTTTGGACTAGAGCTCTGATCAAAAGCAGTGCACTATATAGGGAATAGGGTGTCGTTTGGGACACACCCTCTTCTATTTCCCTATTGAATGTATGTAGGCCTTGCTTCAGGTGGTCTCCATCTTTCTTCTTGTCTTCAGTGACAAATCCTTTGTTGACATTTAGTGATGCAACTACATAAGTGTGTTCTGTGCTTTAAGGTGCTGAGAGCATCAGTGGCGAGGCTACTGCAGCATGTGGAGGCCCTAAGTGGGAATGAAAATCATCATCTCCTCAAGCTGCTGGCTGCACAGCTTACTCAGGGAGTTACAGATCTACAGGTGAGGGACAATATAATTGTTGATCTCCTGACAATTTCTAGACCAATTTTCCACCTGTCATCTCTTATAACCGATTTGAGTTTATTACTCAAATAAACTCAGTTCATTCTATTATGTCTGCATTGTTGAAGATATTCTCTGAACTGGTGCTCAGAATCTTCTCCATGGACTGTAAGAGGATGTCTGAGGAGATCTTTTTGCAGACCATGCCCTCAGCAAAGCACTGGAGAGTGAACTATAAAACAGGTAAATGACAGACTGATGGAACTGAAATACCCTATATTCTAAACATGAGAAACACGTCCACTATTTGAGGTTTTTTCTGTTGCACTTTGTGTATGGAGCCAATGTAATTGATGCTTGTTTTTAACCTAGATCTTATTGTATCTGCAGAGTTCCCCAGCAGCCCTAGTGATTACGCTGCTACTGCAGCGCTGAGTGTAATAGGACAGGTATTGGAGGGGGTGCAGCCCCTGCCTGAGGAGGCCCGGATCCCTGCCCTGACAGAGGCCATGACAGCCTTCATGGAGGCCTGGATGGAGCACATCCTCAAGCAGAAGATCAAGTTCAGGTTTGTGTACAGTATTTTAGATGAGCAAATACAACAGTGCTGAATACCATACAAATACAATTACTAGAACGGGCATAGAACTTCTGACTGGGGAGACCCATACTAGTGATTCTATTTCTGTGATTCTACTGATGATCATTACTGTTATCTCCTAACATGGCACTAGTAAGGGGAGTGATAGACACACCCACTCACCAACTCTTCTGTTTCTCTCTCTCTCTGCAGTATCCAGGGGGCTCTACAGCTGAAGCAAGACTTTGACCTGATCCGGGACCTGATACGCTCGGAGGAGTACAGCCTGTCAGAGGAGATCCACCAGAGGCTGCTGTCCCTCCGGGTCTTCCACCAGGTGGACAATGCCATCCTGTGCCTGCTGCAGCAGCCCATGGCCAAGCCCTACATACCCTCGCGAGGCTGGGAGCCCTTCAGACGCTGCTGTAAGTGCCCACCAGGGGGAGTGCCTTGACCATTGATAACATGACGTTTAGTTGAATCCCACTATAGTAAACTAACTCTAAGGTAAGGCCCGTAACCATTGTGGAATAAAACATGATTAAAAAGTAAGCCACACAGGCAGGTCAGACACAGGCAGGTCAGACATACCACAACACTTGTATTTGGCCTGTTTCTCCTGTTGACAATCGTGATTTCTACCCCTCAGGTCCAAGTAGTGCCAATATGGTGGACCAATCGTCAAGCAGTCTGAATAACTTTGAGAGCATGGACCTCCAGTCTGCATGTCAACAGGCCCTGGCCCAGGCAGAGGGCTCTATGACCCCTGAACTGCTGGCCTCCACCCCGCAGGAGTCCTACCTGGCCGTGGCACAGCAGGAGTGGTTGGATCTGCGCATCCAAAATGGAAACCGCTGGAAGCTCCCTGGGCTGCAGTGCCTGACCAGGTCAGAGCCCTAACCCTCAGGTATTCCATCCAGAACCTCATTCCTCCTCCAGACAAGACACTTGAAATGAACAACCTCTTGGCCTAAAGGCTGTCCTACAAGGCTGCTCATCTGGCAGCCACCATTTTGCTCTTTGAATGAATAAATGGGTCAATGCTCTAGAGCCAGACAGCAAAATAATGGATGGTTAGAGGTTAGTTTACAAGGTTATGAAGTTACTAGGAACATTTGGACGTTACATTTCCTATGACTTCATCTGAACAAATCAAAGCCATATCAATAGACTAGTATTGATGATGAAGTTATTTATTTTATTATTAGCTGCAAAAGGTACAAAGCAATAACTTTTTGTTTCTTTTCAAAACAAAATTCCAAATATTGTGTGTATCCATGGCATGTGCATATACCTGAACATATTCTTGTGTATCCATGCTGATGAAGTAATGGAAAGTAAAGATTTGTTTATCACCTCTGGCTCCTGAGGGGTTTGTTTTGTTTACATTTTTAACTGCAGAAAATGGAACATCAGGTCAAAAGACATGATCATGGTTGATCTATAGATAGTAAACGATCTCAAACTGAGATGACATCATTATTGACATAATACATTTAAGATGATACATTACAATACAGGAACTTCAAGAAGTGCATTTGATGCAAAAAAGTTTACAATTGATAAGCTGAAGTAGTGAGAAGCTGTTCTAACTGGCACCCATGACTAGAATTACAATCAGGGCGACAAGGAGACCACAGGCTAAGATGGTGGCCAAGACTGCCCACACGAAGGTGGCCTTGGATAGGTCACACAGTGAGCTCCTCATGGCTAGTCTGGCCCTGCGTGCCCGTGAGCTGTCCTGGGGTGGGTACCTGGCCATGTTAATGCATTCCATGCCCAAGGACTTGATCAGGCATGCCCGGTGGTGGCTGAGCTGGTCGAAGGTGTGTTTCCCGTGGTACCTGCCCATTCCACTTTGACCTGTAGGGGGTCAGAGTTCAGAGAGCAGCAAGTGAGGTCATTATAAGATCGGATATTAGACTAGGAAAATTCACTAATGCGCTGGCCAAAACTATTAAAATACTTGTTTGTTATGGGTCTTACCTACGCCGCCAAAAGGAAGGGAGTTAAGCACGTAGTGCATTATGACATCATTGACTACCACCCCGCCGCTGCTGGTCTCTGCAATCATTCGCTTTATCACCTCATTGGCAAAAAGAGAAAGAACAATACTATAAACTGCACGATCCTCCACACTCTCCTAATATTGAGTCCAATTGTTACAACGGTAATAGCTTACCTTCTTGTCAGAGGAAAAAACATACAACGCTAAGGGCTTCTCTTTCCCATTGATGAAGCGAATTGCATCACCCACGTCACTAACGGTCACTATGGGCAACAGAGGGCCGAAGATCTCCTCCTGCATAAGTCTGGTGTGAGGAGACACGTCCGTTACCACTGTGGGAGCTGGAGGAGCAGATAGTGGGAAGGTCATTGTTATTGATAGACATACAGGAAGGTCACAGGGATGGTACAGTCAGTTACATCGGCACATCACAGCACTGCCAGAAGAAGTTCAACCCAGAATTGATTCAATATGGATTTGCATACCCATTGCATGAATAAAGAAGCTTGGCTTGAGTCCAGCCAACCATCTCCCCCATAAGGATTCTCCCTACCAATTTAACACTGTGATGGGTCACTCTCCCCCCCTAGTGCCACACTGCACCCCTCCAGCAGACCCATCAGTCAACTGAAGTGGCGCAGGTTGATGATGCGACCGTAGTCCTAGGGAAGATTTGGGGTCCGGGGCCGTAGAACTCCTGGGATTAACAAAAGACAAGGATTAGATGCTGTCTAAAACGAGGATTAGATGCTGTCTAAAACGAGGATTAGATGCTGTCTGAAACAAAGATGCTGTTTAAAATGAAGATGCTGTCTAAAATGATAGATGCTGTCTAAAACGAGGATTAGATGCTGTCTAAAACGAGGATTAGATGCTGTCTAAAACGAGGAAAGATGCTGTCTAAAATGTTGATTAGATGCTGTCTAAAACCATACCCACAGTGTTATAGACAGATATAGAACCCTGATATATTGTCCATGGTAATATACTACTATGCTGGGTGAAGACAGATCTGGAACAGACCTGTAGTGTATTCCGGATGCCCTCCACCACTTTGTTCTGAATGCTGGGGTCACACAGGATGTAGTCAGGGGCGATGCACGTCTGTCCAACGTTGAAAAACTTTCCCCATGTGATTCGGCTAGAAAAACAAACAAATGACGAATCAATACATGTCTATATGAGCCATGTGACTATGGATAAAACGGTTTGCTGAGCAACGGTGCGAAATAGCAAATAGCTGTTACCGGCAGGCCACGATGAGGTCACAGTCCTTGTCGATGTAACAGGGGCTCTTGCCCCCCAGCTCCAGGGTGACAGGGGTCAGGTGTTTGGCCGCGGCCTCCATCACCAATTTCCCCACTGTGCTGTTCCCAGTGTAGAAGACGTGGTCGAAACGCTGCCTCAGCAACTCCTGGGTCTCTGGAACTCCACCTGTCACCACAGGATATAACTCCTGACAGGGAAAAGAACCCAACGTTAAAGTGATAGTTTACCCCCAAACCACAAATTTAGGCTTTTTAAAATGACTGATACAAGGGTAGCAAAATGTAAGACCGTGTCCAGATATTGAGGCAGCAGTGCTTTGAGGAGACTGGCCGAGTGCTCACTCAACTCAGAGGGTTTCACCACTGCTGCATTCCCTGTAGAGGAAGAATGAACAGCGTGTGAGAGGGTTGCTGAGAGAAAGTTAATACGTTTTTAAAAAGTTTAAACTAAATATGCATCCATTCCTTCCTGAGGGGTATAGCACAGGATCAATGAGTTAGCCAGCTAACTTGACTAAATATTGGTATATAACCTTTTATTTTTTAAAGACAAGCTTGAAATGGACATGTTCTAGTTGACTCAACAACCAAAAACACATCTCTAAGTTTAGCTTTATTAATGAACCAGAAAAGAAGTGGTTATTTCTGGTTGTTTATCAAAGTTAGGTGGCGAACTCATTGATCCTGCTTTGTAGTATACCCCTCTGCTCCCCTTGTAGTAGGCAACATTGGAAGAAATGTAATTCAACTAGGGCCTGGGGTATATACCAGCTGCGATGGCCCCGATCAGGGGCTGCAGAGTGAGGGCCCAGGGGTAGTTCCATGCCCCAATGATGAGCACCACTCCCAGGGGTTGAAGCTGGATGTACACCTGGTCTGTTAAGGTCATGATGTTCTTCTCCACAGTGCGAGGGGCAGCCCACTGAGACAGCTTCCCCACCGCCAGGCTGATCTCATTCTCCAGGCCAATCAGCTCAGACAGGGCTGTGTCAAACTGACTGTAAAACCACAGGTCAGTGATGTCTGGCTGTATTGAGGTTATAAGGATCGTCATTGGTTACTTATCAACACACTCGGTACTGTATGACCTGAACATGCTGGATTAGAAATTAAAAGGAAGTAGGCGGTTGGACTTGACTACAAATATGGTTAAGGGGTATCTCCCTCTTTTCTCCCTCAAAGTTATGAAAACTCAAAGACATTCACTTTGTTACTTCTATGTAGGTCTTTATAAATGCATTACGATTTCCGAAGGCTTTATTACGTCTAAAAAGATTGGTTTATATGTATATGCCCTTTGTTGATACATTTGTACACTGAGTGTACAAAACATTAAGAACCTTTACATGACATAGACTGACCAGGTGAATCCAGGTGAAAGCTATGATCCCTTATTGATGTCACTTGTTAAATCCACTTCAATCAGTGTATATGAAGGGGAGTAGACAGGTTAAAGAAGGATCTTTAAGCCTTGAGACAATTGATAAATGGGTTGTGTATGTGTGCCATTCAGAGGGTGATGGGTGAGACAAAATATTTAAGTGCCTTTGAATGGGTTATGGTAGTAGGTGCCAGGCGCACCGGTTTTGTCAAGAACTGAAACGCTGCTGGGTTTTTCACGCTCAACAGTTTCCTGTGTGTATCAAGAATGGTCCACCACCCAAAGGAGGAGGGAGGGGGGGGGGGGTGCAACTCAATATTAGGAAGGTGTTCTTATTGTTTTGGACACTCAGTGTATGTCTATTTATCAAATAATTCACAATATTTTCAATGACTTCCAAACTCTCACCCTGTTGAGGTCCTGCTTGAGCGCTATGGCAATCTCTCCTTGTCTTTCTGTGATCAGCCTCTGAAGGGACTTTAACTGTTGAACTCTGAACTTCAGGGGTTGGGACCTCCCTGTGAGAAAAGCGTCCCTGGCAAAGTCCACAGTCTGCTTCTCCATGTGTAGGTCTATCATTCACAGACAGACACCTGTAGCCTACAACCATAATCACAATGAGAAAGATGCTAAAATATGCACACCTACAGCAGTAGACCTAATCCTTTTGGTTTGAAAATGTACTAAAATATACAATACAGTGAGGGAAAAAAGTATTTCACCCCCTGCTGATTTTGTACGTTTGCCCACTGACAAAGACATGATCAGTCTATAATTTTAATGGTAGGTTTATTTGAACAGTGAGAAACAGAATAACAACAACAAAATCCAGAAAAATGCATGTCAAAAATTGTATAAATTGATTTGCATTTTAATGAGGGAAATAAGCCGGTTTTAGCCAGCCGGCTAATTTTCAACCGCAGTCCCTGGGCAGGTTATTAAAAACAATTACAATATAGACAATAACAACATAGAACAAGACATAGCATACAGACATAGCAACATGGGACAAACAAGATGTAGCATACAGACCGAGCAACATAGAACAAAAAGCAGCAAGACAAAATTCATAAAAGCAACAAAGTGTTTCCACACCTCACAAGTTACAGACAACAGACATGGAAAGCGGCAACACACAGCTAGGGACCATGTTCACAAATCTGATTGACCTTTAGCCATGTCTTCAAGCATTTTGTGAAAGTGTGATATGTGGTGCAGTTATGTGTGTCTGATGGCAGTGTATTCCAGACATGGGAAGCTCTCACAGAAAAAGCGGATTTACTAAAGGTGCTTTTCCTTAGGGGAACTACACAGTAAATACTACAAAGTATTTGACCTCTCTGCAAAACATGACTTAGTACTTGGTGGCAAAACCCTTGTTGGCAATCACAGAGGTCAGATGTTTCTTGTAGTTGTCCACCAGGTTTGCACACATCTCAGGAGGGATTTTGTCCCACTCCTCTTTGCAGATCTTCTCCAAGTCATTAAGGTTTCGAGGCTGATGTTTGGCAACTCGAACTTTCAGCTCCCTCCACAGATCTTCTATGGGATTAAGGTCTGGAGACTGGCTAGGCCACTCCAGGACCTTAATGTGCTTCTTCTTGAGCCACTCCTTTGTTGCCTTGGCCGTGTGTTTTGGGTCATTGTCACAACCCATTTTCAATGCCCTGGCTGAGGGTAGGAGGTTCTCACCCAAGATTTGACAGTACATGGCCCCATCCATCGTCCCTTTGATGCGGTGAAGTTGTCCTGTCCCCTTAGCAGAAAAACACCCCCAAAGCATAATGTTTCCACCTCCATGTTTGACGTGGGGATGGTGTTCTTGGGGTCATAGGCAGCATTCCTCCTCCTCCAAATATGGCGAGTTGAGTTGACGCCAAAGAGCTGGATTTTGGTCTCATCTGACCACAACACTTTCACCCAGTTCTCCTCTGAATCATTCAGATGTTCATTGGCAAACTTCAGACGGGCATGTATATGTGCTTTCTTGAGCAGGGGGACCTTGCGGGCGCTGCAGGATTTCAGTCCTTCACAGCGTAGTGAATTACCAATTGTTTTCTTGGTGACTATGGTCCCAGCTGCCTTGAGATCATTGACAAGATCCTCCCGTGTAGTTCTGGGCTGATTCCTCACCGTTCTCATGATCATTGCAACTCCACGAGGTGAGATCTTGGCCACTCCATGCCGAGGGAGATTGACAGTTATTTTGTGTTTCTTCCATTTGCGAATAATCGCACCAACTGTTGTCACCTTCTCACCAAGCTGCTTGGTGATGGTCTTGTAGCCCATTCCAGCCTTGTGTAGGTCTACAATCTTGTCCCTGACATCCTTGGAGAGCTCTTTGGTCTTGGCCATGGTGGAGAGTTTGGAATCTGATTGATTGCTTCTGTGGACAGGTGTCTTTTATACAGGTAACAAGCTGAGATTAGGAGCACTCCCTTTAAGAGTGTGCTCCTAATCTCAGCTCGTAACCTGTATAAAAGACACCTGGGAGCCTGAAATCTTTGTGATTGAGACGGGGTCAAATACTTATTTCCCTCATTAAAATGCAATTTTTTTGTTGTTATTCTGTCTCTCACTGTTCAAATAAACCTACCATTAAAATTATAGACTGATCATTTCTTTGTCAGTGGGCAAACGTATAAAATCAGCAGGGGATCAAATACTTTTTTCCCGCACTGTATTTACTGTGATATGCCTGGCCAACTAATTAAATCCAACTTTATTGAAAGTGCATTTCAACATCATAATAATGTAATTTTTCTGATAGGCAGAGGATTTAAAATTGAGCACAAAATAGGGTAAAGTGCAATACTTACATGTGAATGAAAGCAGTAGCCTACACAAAACATAACGTTGCCTGTTGTGTTGTCATCAACAACCATAAATATAGAGATGGTCTGTACAAAATAAATAATCCTGTTATATAGGCTACCCAGGGTCATATAAAAAGAATGACCTAGTTCTAGTCTATATTAACCTGAAGTTTCTACGAAATCGTCTTCCTCATACCTACCTCACTGACATGACTGTGGGTGGCACCATGGACAATTGCCCTTTAAAAAAAAACATGTATCTGCTTCATGACTTCAATAGCTTTCAAAGCCTGCCTCCTGGAATTAAAGAGGCAATCTGGGGTTGATACAAAAAATTATATCATTTTGATATCATGGATGGTGAGTCATTGCGTCCGTTGAGAATGGTTAAATTGTTCCAGATGCAGCCCATAGGTGTTGACCAGAAAAAGTGGCGGCAGCGGGGGAGGTTGCTTTGTTGTTAGAATCCTAGATTCCCCCTTTAAACCTTGAGTCATACTATTTCAGATAACATGGTGTAAATTATATTATGCTTCCCCAAGTGCTTTCAGTTACAGTAATATTGTGTATTTTTCTCCGCAAACATAACACAATAATCACACTTAGACAGGACAAAATGATTTATCAATGTATTTTTTGGTGTAGACTTTTTTTTTTACAGGAACTTCTTTAGACAGTTTCACAAAAATCTGTTTTACCAAGTGAGAACCACAATTTGTCTGCTTGCAAGATATAATTAATTTGCATTTCTCAATGTGTATTCATCTGAAATAGTCTATATATTATCATATACAAATATGCAGTATTTTGTGAGACATTTACAGAAAATAATAAAAAAATAGCAAATTAGAGTGGTTGCACCATATGACATTTTCACAGGACTAAACATGGGGATCTTGTTTAAAAATGAAATTAAACACATTTCAATTTTCAACAGTCATTCGTTCATATCCAAGACTTATGTGAAGATACATTGTTTATTTAAATGTTAATTTATTTTATTTTACTCTTGAAAACCTTAATTGCACAATATCAACACACCTTGTACTGTATGAGCTGAACATGCTAGGTGGTTGGACTTTACTACGAATATGTAAAAGCTATAAAAAGAAGGACTAAGTTCTAGTGTATAATAACTTGAAGCTTCTACGGAAGCGTCTTCCTGATACCTACCCCGCTGACGTGACTTTGGGTGGCACCATGGACAATTGCCAGTTCTTTTTATCACTTGAGATATCAGAGGTAGCCTGTTAGTTTAATCACTAACCTTAGCTCTCTAATCATTAGCATGTGCCAGTGGGGGAATCAGTACCACTATAATAATCTGGCCTTTGCTGGACAATCCCAGCATCATCCCAGGAACCAGTGCTGGTGCACGGACCAGAGGTTGAGAAACTGAGCTAGACTGTCTGTACTCTTCAAAGCAGCTGTGAGAAGAGACTGGCTGCCTTAAGCAATTTTTGGGAGCTCCAACTCATTCTGTTACATATTTGCTGACAGTACATTTCGTTCTGATTCATTGACAGAAAATTCCATATAGTCCATTCCTGCTTCCGTGAAGTCTTATCACTTCTGCAGATTCTTATTAACCAGGGGAGGGGGAAGGAAGCAATCTTTATTACTTGGTGTCCTAGTCCAACATACCACAGTACATTTTTTTTCAGTTTGATATTTGGAGTTTGCTAGTCAATACCTCTTCGACGGAAGGTTTTAGGATGATTAGGCTGATATATCTAGAATCAGATGACGCTAGAGAGCAAGGTACAGCCTTTGTTTTCTCTGTTCCATTTTCAAAAAGGGACTTTATGTTGGTTTCAATGGGGTAATATTATGCACAGGCGGCTAAAGGACCGTCTT